GGAACTACAAACTCAAAAAAGTTATGTATCATTAGGCCTGTTATAATAGATAATTTGATATATACTAAAGCTCTGATGTATTATTCTCTGACAGGAAGCTTGAAGTACTAACAAAGAATGTCGTGATGATTGAATACTACCTGAATCCCACGACAACATACGACACGCCAACAAGGAATGGTTGAATCTGTAATATTCAGTAAATTAAAAGTTAATGTTTCAAGCTATATATAGTAGATATGACTTCTGAAGATAAAATACTATGAAGCTGAAGTTGTGATCGCAGAGAGAATCATAACAAGATGGCCATGTAAAGTTGTTAGCATATATCCTCGGTCCCCGCATACAAGAAACAAATCATCCTCAGAACTTAAGGGGGTCAATTAAAAATGTAAGAAACTTAATAAAAGGAACTGTTGTAAGATCATATGGAGCACAGTCTCAATATAGGATTTCACGCTGTGGAAGAGAACAGAATAAGTTGCAAACGATAGTTATGAGAAAAAAATGGTGTCATGCAATAGCTACAAAAAATAAGAGGACAAGAAATTACCCAAAACCCAAGTAACTTCTCTTTCTCAAATTTTTCCACCGTATGATACTCCAGCTGTTACAAAATTCAGAATGGTGACTAGATTGAATATATGTGGTATCAGAACACTGAAAGCTCATGGAAAAGAAGAACGACCTCTCTGCTTGTTTTCAACTCCACATAAAACCGCCTACCATCGTCGGTTGAATCACAGCAATCCATCTCAGCACCCATGACAATGCGATGCGCGCCCAATTTCGTCTTTATTACAGAACAATACTCTACATTAGCATCAATACCGCTTCCGTCTTCGTCAATGGAGTTCTCAGTGGCAAGATTTTCAAAAGAATAGCCCCAAAAACATCTGAGGATCAAACATAGCACCAGCAAGAAAAGGTACATCAAATTAATATTCATTAGAGATTCATCCGCTGTAATGATGACAATTCCGAATATGATTACAAACATCAAGGCACCAGCTAATTTAACAGGCAAATGATGAGAATGACATGCAGCCCTTCACACATTTCCAACCTTCCCAGAGATACTAACATTTTAGACAACTATATTTTATTACATGATATCAAGATCAGAAAATTGCCAAACAATTAAATCAGCATTAAGAACTCAAATTGGAAAGATAACCCTTGGGCCAAAACCATGCCGTATCAGATGTTCTCCATAATAAGCTGAAAGAAACGAATATTCAATTCGGCTCCCGAGCTCATCTACACCCTCTAAACAATAAATTCAGAAAAATACTAAAAAATCAAAAATTCTAAAAAAAATTGTGTTGAAAGATGCCTGAGAACGTTCACAGCCCCCAAATTTGCCGAGAGCTCGTCAGATGTTCAAATGCTCTGAATTTTTGCACATACATCACGAACTCAAGCATCTTTCATCACAAAAAGAATTGAATTTTTTTACTATTTTTGGTGAATTTACTGTTCACTTCCGGGCTCAGATGAGCCTAGGAGTCAAAACACACCGTCCGAAAAGAAACTCTTAGCATATACCGCTAGTTACATAACTCCAAGGGGTGTTCTTGGCATGTTACCATGGCATGGCAGCATCCGTCTTTAAAATTCAATATCATCATTGGTACAAAAGTTACACGTCGTTGGTGCCTTGAGCGATGAACCGTTACAATGGCAGTGTAACTCTGCACTTCCCTAATTTATAACTTGGTATTACAGAAGAAATACAGTGTTCGATGGCTTCAAAATCTCTTTGGACACTCAAAGAGCAAACCGTGACCGTACTGCCTCCAGTTACCGACCGAACATATAGCATGACACCGTCAGTCTCTTATGCATCCGCATCAGCCCCTCGAACTATAGCTCAAACCATTCTAAGACGCGACGCTGTTACGTAAGGTCCCTCAAAGCTGTCCGTTTAGCGAAACTTCAGCGCCGAAGCTTTGCTAGGGAACAGATCTAGTTTGTTGCACCGGTGAGCTGTTCCACATGCAGAGTTATTGCCTCGGGGCATGGAGACTGGGCTTTTAATAGTTCCAATCGATGGAACGGGTGTGCAAATTGCAGAACATAGTCTTCATCTGCAAGACATGGGGCAAACGATATCACGCACATGAAGAGAACTACTCGGGATTATGAATGGCAACAAGTGCATATTTTTGAGAGAGGAAGGTGAAGATGCATCTAATAAGAGTGGTGAAGGAATTCTCACTTTCTTTGACAGTGCCATACAGCCAGCATAAAACCTCGTCAGCAAAGGCCAAGCAGACACCACCCTGAATATTACAGTGGGAAGTGCAAGAAAGTAATTTAGAACCATACATTTAATTCAAATTAAGCTAGTCACATATGTTGCATAGCAAGTAATTTGGTACTCTCCTACAAAAGAGGGCAGTTATCAGTTATCCTACGCGTCAAAACAGAAAAAGGGACTGCAGCATCAGAGTAATGGCAAGTGTACACTCCTTTCCACTATTATTTAAGATTTGGCAAGACAAACCAGTTATTCGACTTTCTATATAGGTTATTATGCGCTTCTAAGTCCTAATATTATACTCACACACTCATGTTCTTCCTTACATATCATAGACTCCACTGTTGTGAATGAACAACACGGAATTAATTTAGTATACCTGCCAGTAGTTCTTTGCTTTCACTTTTTGTGTAATATCTTTAGTTCTTAGTCTCTCAGTTCGTATAAGTACACTAGCATCATTCCTGCAAAGCCAAAAAGAGAGGAGTGTAACTTGATCAAGTTAAAACCAATTTTAAACATTGCAGCCAATCCATCTACACATCACAAACAACACTGAACAGAGTCAGACAGAAAAGGTAATCATACTCCCCTTCCTAATTGTATCAACCATATAGCCAATATTAGAGGATTGGAATTTGAATGTCTTTCTGGTTGAATGTCTCATTATTAAGCAAAAACCACAGGTTATGTAGCATGCAGTGTGTTAGACAGTAAGCATAAAAGTTTGAACAAAATGCTTGAAAAGTGGTCAAACAAATTAAACTGAAGGAACTACAAACTCAAAAAAGTTATGTATCATTAGGCCTGTTATAATAGATAATTTGATATATACTAAAGCTCTGATGTATTATTCTCTCACAGGAAGCTTGAAGTACTAACAAAGAATGTCGTGATGATTGAATACTACCTGAATCCCACGACAACATACGACACGCCAACAAGGAATGGTTGAATCTGTAATATTCAGTAAATTAAAAGTTAATGTTTCAAGCTATATATAGTAGATATGACTTCTGAAGATAAAATACTATGAAGCTGAAGTTGTGATCGCAGAGAGAATCATAACAAGATGGCCATGTAAAGTTGTTAGCATATATCCTCAGTCCCCGCATACAAGAAACAAATCATCCTCAGAACTTAAGGGGGTCAATTAAAAATGTAAGAAACTTAATAAAAGGAACTGTTATAAGATCATATGGAGCACAGTCTCAATATAGGATTTCACGCTGTGGAAGAGAACAGAATAAGTTGCAAACGATAGTTATGATAAAAAAATGGTGTCATGCAATAGCTACAAAAAATAAGAGGACAAGAAATTACCCAAAACCCAAGTAACTTCTCTTTCTCAAATTTTTCCACCGTATGATACTCCAGCTGTTACAAAATTCAGAATGGTGACTAGATTGAATATATGTGGTATCAGAACACTGAAAGCTCATGGAAAAGAAGAACGACCTCTATGCTTGTTTTCAACTCCACATAAAACCGCCTACCATCGTCGGTTGAATCACAGCAATCCATCTCAGCACCCATGACAATGCGATGCGCGCCCAATTTCGTCTTTATTACAGAACAATACTCTACATTAGCATCAATACCGCTTCCGTCTTCGTCAATGGAGTTCTCAGTGGCAAGATTTTCAAAAGAATAGCCCCAAAAACATCTGAGGATCAAACATAGCACCAGCAAGAAAAGGTACATCAAATTAATATTCATTAGAGATTCATCCGCTGTAATGATGACAATTCCGAATATGATTACAAACATCAAGGCACCAGCTAATTTAACAGGCAAATGATGAGAATGACATGCAGCCCTTCACACATTTCCAACCTTCCCAGAGATACTAACATTTTAGACAACTATATTTTATTACATGATATCAAGATCAGAAAATTGCCAAACAATTAAATCAGCATTAAGAACTCAAATTGGAAAGATAACCCTTGGGCCAAAACCATGCCGTATCAGATGTTCTCCATAATAAGCTGAAAGAAACGAATATTCAATTCGGCTCCCGAGCTCATCTACACCCTCTAAACAATAAATTCAGAAAAATACTAAAAAATCAAAAATTCTAAAAAAAATTGTGTTGAAAGATGCCTGAGAACGTTCACAGCCCCCAAATTTGCCGAGAGCTCGTCAGATGTTCAAATGCTCTGAATTTTTGCACATACATCACGAACTCAAGCATCTTTCATCACAAAAAGAATTGAATTTTTTACTATTTTTGACGAATTTACTGTTCACTTCCGGGCTCAGACGAGCCTAGGAGTCAAAACACACCGTCCGAAAAGAAACTCTTAGCATATACCGCTAGTTACATAACTCCAAGGGGTGTTCTTGGCATGTTACCATGGCATGGCAGCATCCGTCTTTAAAATTCAATATCATCATTGGTACAAAAGTTACACATCGTTGGTGCCTTGAGCGATGAACCGTTACAATGCCAATGTAACTCTGCACTTCCCTAATTTATAACTTGGTATTACAGAAGAAATACAGTGTTCGATGGCTTCAAAATCTCTTTGGACACTCAAAGAGCAAACCGTGACCGTACTGCCTCCAGTTACCGACCGAACATATAGCATGACACTGTCAGTCTCTTATGCATCCGCATCAGCCCCTCGAACTATAGCTCAAACCATTCTAAGACGCGACGCTATTACGTAAGGTCCCTCAAAGCTGTCCGTTTAGCGAAACATCAGCGCCGAAGCTTTGCTAGGGAACAGATCTAGTTTGTTGCACCGGTGAGCTGTTCCACATGCAGAGTTATTGCCTCGGGGCATGGAGACTGGGCTTTTAATAGTTCCAATCGATGGAACGGGTGTGCAAATTGCAGAACATAGTCTTCATCTGCAAGACATGGGGCAAACGATATCACGCACATGAAGAGAACTACTCGGGATTATGAATGGCAACAAGTGCATATTTTTGAGAGAGGAAGGTGAAGATGCATCTAATAAGAGTGGTGAAGGAATTCTCACTTTCTTTGACAGTGCCATACAGCCAGCATAAAACCTCGTCAGCAAAGGCCAAGCAGACACCACCCTGAATATTAGTGGGAAGTGCAAGAAAGTAATTTAGAACCATACATTTAATTCAAATTAAGCTAGTCACATATGTTGCATAGCAAGTAATTTGGTACTCTCCTACAAAAGAGGGCAGTTATCAGTTATCCTACGCGTCAAAACAGAAAAAGGGACTGCAGCATCAGAGTAATGGCAAGTGTACACTCCTTTCCACTATTATTTAAGATTTGGCAAGACAAACCAGTTATTCGACTTTCTATATAGGTTATTATGCGCTTCTAAGTCCTAATATTATACTCACACACTCATGTTCTTCCTTACATATCATAGACTCCACTGTTGTGAATGAACAACACGGAATTAATTTAGTATACCTGCCAGTAGTTCTTTGCTTTCACTTTTTGTGTAATATCTTTAGTTCTTAGTCTCTCAGTTCGTATAAGTACACCAGCATCATTCCTGCAAAGCCAAAAAGAGAGGAGTGTAACTTGATCAAGTTAAAACCAATTTTGAACATTGCAGCCAATCCATCTACACATCACAAACAACACTGAACAGAGTCAGACAGAAAAGGTAATTGTACTCCCCTTCCTAATTGTATCAACCATATAGCCAATATTAGAGGATTGGAATTTGAATGTCTTTCTGGTTGAATGTCTCATTATTAAGCAAAAACCACAGGTTATGTAGCATGCAGTGTGTTACATGTGTAGAACAGAAGACCATACTGGGTGAGATATGTTCATACCACTAACAGTAAGCATAAAAGTTTGAACAAAATGCTTGAAAAGTGGTCAAACAAATTAAACTGAAGGAACTACAAACTCAAAAAAGTTATGTATCATTAGGCCTGTTATAATAGATAATTTGATATATACTAAAGCTCTGATGTATTATTCTCTGACAGGAAGCTTGAAGTACTAACAAAGAATGTCGTGATGATTGAATACTACCTGAATCCCACGACAACATACGACACGCCAGCAAGGAATGATTGAATCTGTAATATTCAGTAAAGTAAAAGTTAATGTTTCAAGCTATATATAGTAGATATGACTTCTGAAGATAAAATACTATGAAGCTGAAGTTGTGATCGCAGAGAGAATCATAACAAGATGGCCATGTAAAGTTGTTAGCATATATCCTCAGTCCCCGCATACAAGAAACAAATCATCCTCAGAACTTAAGGGGGTCAATTAAAAATGTAAGAAACTGAATAAAAGGAACTGTTCTAAGATCATACGGAGCACAGTCTCAATATAGGATTTCACGCTGTGGAAGAGAACAGAATAAGTTGCAAACGATAGTTATGATAAAAAAATGGTGTCATGCAATAGCTACAAAAAATAAGAGGACAAGAAATTACCCAAAACCTAAGTAACTTCTCTTTCTCAAATTTTTCCACCGTATGATACTCCAGCTGTTACAAAATTCAGAATGGTGACTAGATTGAATATATGTGGTATCAGAACACTGAAAGCTCATGGAAAAGAAGAACGACCTCTCTGCTTGTTTTCAACTCCACATAGAACCGCCTACCATCGTCGGTTGAATCACAGCAGTCCATCTCAGCACCCATGACAATGCGATGCGCGCCCAATTTCGTCTTTATTACAGAACAATACTCTACATTAGCATCAATACCGCTTCCGTCTTCGTCAATGGAGTTCTCAGTGGCAAGATTTTCAAAAGAATAGCCCCAAAAACATCTGAGGATCAAACATAGCACCAGCAAGAAAAGGTACATCAAATTGATATTCATTAGAGATTCATCCGCTGTAATGATGACAATTCCGAATATGATTACAAACATCAAGGCACCAGCTAATTTAACAGGCAAATGATGAGAATGACATGCAGCCCTTCACACATTTCCAACCTTCCCAGAGATACTAACATTTTAGACAACTATATTTTATTACATGATATCAAGATCAGAAAATCGCCAAACAATTAAATCAGCATTAAGAACTCAAATTGGAAAGATAACCCTTGGGCTATCACAATTCCTATAAGAACTAATACAAACTCAAAGCATCACCATATTAGCATACTAAATTCCGACTATTTTTTTTTGTAACTAAATCTTCCTAATGCCAGAGAGGAAGAGAGAAATCAGCACCATCAAACTCAAACTTAACAAAATACCCCTTGCATAGGTAAGATTATCATAACACTACTTGCTTTGTAACTCTTCCTATTGCCAACAAGAACGCCGCGCGGGGGGTGGGGGTGGGGGTGGGGGGGGAGGAGGGAGAGTCACCTCCTGCGGTCAATTTCACTCTGTGGTCTTTCAGGGAGTTTATGGACATCAAGGTATACAACACCATTTCTTTTGTGCACACCCATCTTCCATGGTTCTTTTAGATAAGCCGTGGCCAATATCTGACGATTTTACAAATAGTCACATAAGACTGTCAGCAGACAAGCATAGTAAAAGAAATTACACAGAACAAAGTTTTATTACAGTGTCCTGCAAAATACTCCCTCCGTTCCATAATTAGTACATATAGATTTTTTGAGAAGTCAATCTTTGCAAACCTTGACCAATTTTATAGAGAAGAAAACTATTTATATCTACAATATCAAATATATAAAATACGAAGCTACATCTTATGATGAATCTAATGGTATATGTTAGGTATTCTAGATGTAAATGTTTTTCTCCACAAACTTGGTCAAAGTTTGTGAGGTTTGACTTTTCTAAAAATCTATATGCACTACATTATGGAACGGAGGGAGTATATGTGCATCTGTCATTAGATTAAACAAGATACAAAAACCAGTGTAAGCTGTAAGGACAACTACCCGACTCTTCTACATGGACAAACATAAGTTACAGCAACGGAAAAGAAAAGATGTTATGATTTAAATAGTCTGCACTGGGAGGACCATACCTTGTTAAGGTTGTTGCGATACGTCTGCAAGAGGAGCATACATGATCAGAAATTCTAAGCATAGCATACCGAAATAACAGATATGAAGTTGGCAATAATGCATTTTACCACAAAATGTATATTCTGAAGAGGTAGATTTGAATTTCTTATGCATGCAAGAAGGTCGCCAAATCCTTGAGAACCCAAATCTGGCATTACACCACATTAACCATGAATAAATGCTCTCAGATAAAAACAAATTCAAGAGGAACAAAAACTTCCAAATAATTGAATTGGATCCTATTGTTCAAGAAACAAATTTTTGGAATTAACTTCAATAACTTCATTCCTTTCCCATTGTGTATTGGAAACAGTTAGTCTGTTAATTCTTGAAGATTTATTTTCTTTCATGTCCTTTCTTATATGCAAAAAAAAAAACCAGTCTTACGAAAAACACAGATGCAATACCTCAGCTGAAATATAGTACAATAGTGAAAACTCACTATGAAGAAAATTTATCTATGCAGATGCCTTAAGTGGTCCACTTAAGGTTTCAAGACTCGCACAATCTTTTTGGGACGGAGGGAGTACAAAACAGTTGGCTCTACCATATAGAATAAGGGAAAGGTACCATGCTATCAAGATCTTCCTATAAATGTGTGTAGGTTATTATGTGACAACTGAAACAGAGTTTGTAGGGAACAATTTTCAGGCAATAACAATAACACAGATAATATATTCTACATTAATCGAGCTGGTGGTATTAACTAGAATGTAGAAACAACAAACATAACTTCAGAAAGGAAGTACCTCTTTTCTCTATAAACGTTTCAAATCCTTTATTGAGATCTTCACCAGCATAATCACAAATATTACGTTTGAAAAGCCTCTACAAAAAAGGATGTTTAGTACAACGGCCAACTTTTAGGGCAAACTTTCTTTGAAAAAAGAACATGTATTCAGAAATCAAGGTTTACACTCGATAGACAATGAAATTGATAATCAGAATCTCTGATATCTTACCAAGCTGCGATCATCAAAATATACATCCCCACCCTCAACACGGCTGTAGCATGCAATCTCACATGGCTGCATGGGTAACAAAGGATAGCCCTTCAGAAAACAAATACATCAAACGAAAATCAAATGAACATGGTACTGTTATGCACCTCCTGAAAAGCAACAGCCTTCCTAGATAAAGTTTCTTCACTCTTATTAAGTTTCATTTCTGAAACAAAACCTTCAAAATTACGCCCATTTCCATACGAAAACCTCCCGCCATGGCCAAAATTATTTCGTCCTCCTGGATGGCCTCCTGGCCTTGGAAGAAGAGGTGGGCCCCTGCCACCTCGTCCTCCTCGAGAAAAATTGTTGGCGTTCCGTATCGGGGGCAGCACTATAAACAGAGGCAAAAAATATAAGAGGGTGTTAATGCCCAATCTCCCAACCTAGATACACTGAACCTTTTCAAAGCACTGGCTACCAAGTCCCCAGAATATCGAGCATACAGGCAAGGGAAACGATCCAGTCATCACATTCTTCACCAAAAAGCATGGGCGTTATGTATCACTAATGGAGTATATGTAGGTGGAGTGGGCGCAGACCCGTAGATTTCAGTTAGATTACACACAAAGCATGAGCATGATTTAGGCTAGATACGCACAAAGCATGGAAATACAGTCTCATTTCCAGTGCTGGTCATTGTGTTCGATTTTTAAACCTTTATATCTATCGTAGTCTAGTGAGATGGTATTGTGGAAGAAACTGTGATCAAGTTTGTTTGGGAAACAGAATGAGATTAGATTCAGCCTTATTCCTAGTTGTAATTTACTGCAGAATTAAGTTCGGATTTTAGTTATTTACAGATTGCCGTTCTTTAGTATACTTGTCTAGTTTCAACCCAAAAAGGACATGAAGATAGTCGAATGTATCTTTCCAACTCACAGCGACCCAATTATATATATGGTTTCATGGTTTGTTCTTCTACTCTCTTCAGTAGTTCTGCTTAATGCTTTTGTAACTCAAAGTCTCTCTGACTCTACAAAATTAAGCAAGAACCAGAAGATGATGCTAGCAGAGAATTTGATCCAACATTATGCTCGAATTAGCCTGACATACACTGCTGAAATTTGGAACAATGATTCAAACACAAGTCTGCAGCAAGAGAGTTCATCGTGTACTGAAGCGAGAAGGTTAATTCTGCCAGACCAAACGCTCACTGCAGCTCCCAGAGCCCCACGAGCAACAAAACCAGCCAATCAGAAAGAAATCGGGTAGGGTTATGTAGCAATCTCCTAAGAAATTCTGCCCACCAAATACTGAGGAGACAACTTGGCCCAGAGGAATCTAGCGGCTGATTCAGTAACGAGAGGCGGACCTGGAACTAGGTAGTTGCTACGCGCGGGGGTCTTGACGTACTCCTCGTTGTCGGAGCCGAACAAATCTCTCGCCTCCTCCTCGTCGTCCCCGTACCCGGCGGCGGGCCTGACGGGCACGACGTCGAACGAGTCGTACTCCCCGCCGTCCCCGTCGTCGGCGCCGTCCTCGTCCCCGCCGTCCCCGTCGTCGGCGCCGTCCTCGTCCCCGCCGCCGGCGGCGGGGCTGCTGCTGCGGCCGCTGGAGGCAGCGCTGGAGGAGGAGGAGGAGGCGGCGGCGGAGGACGAGGAGGATGAGGAGGGGGAGGAGGAGCCGGAGGAGGCGCCGCCTCCGCCCTCGGCCTCGGCTTCGGCGCCGTCGTATTCCTCGCCGAAGACGT